GAAGCTTTGGTAAGTCTCCTTACTAGAGGCTGTGAAAAAAATTATAAAGTTTTGACTGGGGGGAAGGGAGGCTGAGGTTGGGGATTAGAGCTTGATTGCTGATAATTATAGCGATAACCCTTCTCCCAAAAGAAAGAAGAATGGATGGATACATTTGATAACAGAGAGGTGCAGAGAGCCAAACCCTTTGGAGCTTAATGGAGGGAAAAGTCTTTTTTAAAGTTGTATATATGAGTTCTAAGAGGATGTACGTACTGAAGTCTCTCTGCTTAAGAGCAGTTGAGGTGGATACGGTATTTGTGGATGAGGCAAAATCTTCCCAGGATGAGGCAGTTCCCACGTGGAGGAGTTGTTCAGAAAAGTCTCTTGTGACCACAGATGAGAGTCCGTGAGGGCTGCGTGTTCGAGGAGCACGCCCCGGATTTCACGTGCTCGGTGCCAGGCATGGAGTTCTCCCTGAAGGGCTTGGGGGTTGGGGTGCTGCCTTACATCGGGTTAGCACTTTATAATGTCTGTGGTCACTTCCTCCAGAGATCATCTCACTTCAGGCAGTGAGGGCTGAGGGCAAGGAAAGGTGGTTCTTGCCATCCTACAGATGAGAGACATCTGCAGCTGGAACGGACAGAGCGTTTGTCCCGAGCACCCAGATGCTTCACCCTGACCTGGGGCTTGGGTTGGGTGTGGGTTCATCGTTGCTCCTGTGAAAGCAGACTCGGAGCCATTTGGAGTGTCACTCCGACACGGCACAGTACAAAGTGGAGTGAAAGTCAAGTCGAAAACACCTTTTTGAGAAGGCAGAAAATGTACAATCGGTGTGTGAAAGAGTTCCGTGAAAATAACTTTTCTAGAAATGGGGAAGTTTGATTTAAAAGGAAAAAAACCACTCGGGAATAAAGGACCGTTCGTGAACCCCGGTGTGCGCCTGCATGTAAATGCCGTGTGTGAGATGGGTGGGATTTGGTGAGAACACCTGCAGCCTGGAGATAGTGTTCGGCCTCCGTCACTTGGGGAGACGCTTGCAACAACAGCAGGCTCTCTGTTGGGGTGCAGAGGCTGCAGGCTTGCTTGGGTGAGAGCGAGAACCTGGATCTGATCCCCCTGACTCACGGTGCGAAACAGAAAGAGCCTCTCTGTTGATTTGCTTCTCTCTCAAATGGCCATCGTAATGGCCGCTCCAGCCACCTGACGGCCTTGGGAGGAGAGGACGAGATAATGGGAAAGCTCTGTTGAAAAGGCTGGAGTCTCTGTACCAACGAAAGCTGATGCTTTCTTCCGTAAGACCACCGGGCCGCTGCCCTTCCACTGCCTGGTCAGGTGGGAGTAAGGAGGTCTGAGAGCTGGTGAGGGACACACGTGTGCAGCAACAAGGCCGCTGCACTCCCCAGAGCATCCTCGAGCTTGTGAGCACCCGACCTGTCCCTGTGAGGGCCTCAGGGTCACACGGAAGGGCATTTTCGTGACTCGTGTTAGTTCTTACGTACCCGTCAGCAGTTCAGAGGGCCGGATGCCAGGCGAAATTCGGGGGGTGGCCAAGTCCTGCTGCTGTGGAGTTGACGATGAGGGTGACCACAGTGTCTAGTGTGCTTGTCAGCGGCAGGCTGCCCAGCACGTGATCGACACGGGGTTCCACGGATCCTTCTGCCCCTCGACGCCGGGTTCCTCAGCGGGTGCGGACTGTGGTCTGTGGGTTTCAGAGCAGCTCTCTGGGCATGGCCTACACAGGTGAGAGTGAATTTTCTGTGTAGCAGTGAGACTGTTCTTCAGCAATAAGACAAAATGTTCCTTGCCCTGGTGGTAGTAGGTGGATTCGTTGCATGAATGAATGAATGAACGTGTACTTTGAGAGATGCCTGGGGCATGATAGCAGGACATTAACTCTGTGAGGTATGAGGCTGCTCAAGGAAAAGTTACTTTATATGTATCCATCTTTATATATATATATATATATATATATAAAATTTTTTTTTTTAAAAAACTGAAGGCTCCCCAGTTTCTAACTTCTAGAGTGATCTGTGTTGTTAAGCCTCTCCTGCCCGGCCTTGTTCTTGCTTAAGCGATTTGTCCAGTTTACTTAATTTCTTAGCCGTTCATTAGATATTGAAGAAAATTGCTTGATTTTTACCAAAAACTGACTTTTCTGGGTCCTTAGAAGACCATAACTCTCATGGTGGTATAGATGTGAGAGCTCCTATCACAGCTTTGTAGTGTCCACTGAGAACGTGATCACGTGAATGCCCCCCCCAAATATCTCTGCTTTCAAAAATGAACAATCAAAAGCCTGCTAATGGTGGGGGGGGCGGATTATAGCCCATTCCTTGGAGGAAGCACACTCCGTGCTGTTTCCCACTGAATGCAAGTCAAACAGTAGGCAGAATGTATGGAGTGGTGTTTAGAGGATACTAAAAGATAGTAGCAGGCACATTGGGGAAGGAAACCAAAATGAGAAGTGTGAGAGATAAGCCAAGAGTTTCCTGTTTGTTCTTCCCCTTTGTCCTGCCTGCGCTCCAAGGCAACCTGAATCCCAGAAGTGCACACTTCCAAGACAGTCCCTCTCTTTCCAGCCCAAGGAGCAGGAATGGAAGTCCCTTTGGGACAGAGACTGGGAGAAATCCTACCAACTTTCATGCAAACCCTGTTAACATGTGGAATGTACATTCTAGACTTTTTAAAAAAAGCATAGTTTGTAAATGCCCTTCGTAGCCAACCCACGTCGTTTCCTGTGATTACTTTTCTGCACAGTATTTTGTTTCCTGTAGAGTTAGTGATTGCCTTGCTTTTTGCTTTCCTAGCTGTCTGTGCACACACACATTCGTCCCCATGTGGTGATTCTTTATTCAGGGCTGTCGGAGGCAGTGGGCTCTGTTGGAGGCACCTCCTCCAGGGCGACCCTCACGCACACCTACCTGCCCCCTGCACTGTCCGCGCTCACAGTCCCTGGGCCCTCCCTTCGTTGGCGTCCTGGTGGGTCCCGTCTCCTTTTTTCTGCATTTACTCCTTTGCTTTACAGAGTACATCCTTGTAATTCCCTGAAAACAAGAGTACATAGGTGGTAAATATTGTGAAATCTTGTGTATGTGAAAATGGCTTTAGTTTATCCTTTACTGTAGGGCCAGTTAGTAATATGGCTGGGTATAGGATTCTAAGTTGGAACTCATTTTCCCACAGAATTTGGAGGCATTCTTCCAAAGCCTTCTGTTTTCCAGTATTGTTTTTGAAAAAGCCTGAGTCTTGATCCTTTATATGAAGCTTGTTTCTAATTTCTGGAGGCGTTGGGGTCTCCTGCTATGTAGGTCTGTTTTCTTCTGTTGAGCTGCATGTTCAGTGACCTTCTGAATGTGAAAATCCATACCCTCTCTGTGGTGTGTTCAACCTGCCATCCTTAAGTAGAAATCTGGATACATTTTTTTTTAAAGGGAGATTGTAATAGAATATGTATTTCCCAAAGCCTGGAATATCATTGGTGAGATGCTGAAAAGGATCATGTTGATTAAATTGGGCAACTAATCAGAACTTAAAAATGTGCTGACAAGCATAAAATACAGACAGGCACACATTTTGTTTGACAGAGCAAATAAGAATTGCAGTGAGTGAATTGTTAAAACCACTTACGAGTCCAGTGTGTGGCCCAGATGTGTGTCAGAGACGGGTAGATCTATTTATGAACTTTTCTCACTCTTACTAAAAGGGAAAAACATGCAGTTCTACCCACATAATAATTTCAGAAGACTGAAGGCACATCCACCTCAGTATCTTGTCTCGGTTCGGTCGCCAAATATCACAAACCAAGTCTTCTCTCAGTTGACTGCTCCAGTCTCTGGCGCTTTGGCTAAGTTAGCGAAAGAGTTGTCCCCAAGCTGAGCACTGGAAGTTTTCCTAGATATTTTTCCCAAAATGGCTCTGGTAGTAAATCAATCAATGACTCTTCCTCTATCAGTATAATTTTAAAAGCTGGGTAAACGTCTGCTGAAATGTGCTATAGAAAGTGCCAGCATCGAAGGAACGTTCCGAGGCCGCATGCTTCATCTCTAGGACCAGACCCCTTCCGAGCACTGTCCAAAAAACAGTGAACATTGAGTGGCAGACTTCACGGTGGGGTCTTACGTATCTCAGCATGAACTCGTGAAGGCAGAACACTCCCGTGCGTCTCCTCTGTGCTCAGCGCCCACACCGAGCACTTCTCTGACCAGATGTGGGGAATGCACTGTGATCCTGGCTCCCTGGGGACAGTATCAGATCCCAGAGACTAAAGACTCCATGTCACACTCACTGTCCCCACCTCCTGCTTCACACACCAGTCCCATGTCTGGGTTGTCCCCGCGCTTCTGACCCCCCAGCTATAAATTGGAGGTTCCTGTGATGACTCCTCAGGTTGATTAATTTGCTAAATGTTGCTCACAACTCAGGAAAACATGTTACTAGATTTCCCCTGTATTCTAAGAGGATATAACTTAGGGCAGCCAAATGGACGAGATGCCCCAGGCAAGGTGTGTGGGAAGGGGTGCAGAGCTTCCGTGCCCTGTCCGGGTGCGCCCCTCCTCCCAGTACCCCTGTATCTCGACTCTTTCACCACCCTGGAAGCTCTCTGAACCTTCATCCTTCAGGATTTTTGTGGAGGCTTCATTACATAAGCGGGATCGATGAGGCTGTTGGCCATGGGTGATTAACTCAGCCTCCAGCCCTTCTCCCCTCCTCGGAGGTCCAGCCCCCTGACGGCCTGGTTAGCCCTGCTGGCATCCAGCCCCCGTCCTCTGGGGCTTTCCGAAAGCAACCTCGTTAGCATGTGCTCAGGTGCGTTGGAAGGGCCTTGTGAGGAATAACCAAAGAAAGCCACCTTGATCTCAGGAAATTCCCAAGGTTGTGCAAGCAGAATGAAGTCAGAGAGCAAATGTATATTTCTGATTAGAAATCACCATATCAGAAAGCTTAATTCTGAACAGTAGTAATCACAGCGCACTTCCATGTGGGCCAATAACGAATCTTGTGTTCTCTTTTCCCATCAGCTTTTTGGAGACTGGGAAGCCCAGCTGCGGAGAATAATGAAGCTCATCGCTGGCGGCGGCCTGTCCATCACTGGCTCTCACAACATGTGTGGGGACTATCTGTACAGCGGTCACACGGTCATGCTCACACTCACCTACTTATTTATCAAAGAGTGTAAGTCCACAGCAGCCTTCCATGACATCTGCCATGTCCCCCGGTCTCTGCGGAGTCCCCTGCAAGAGGGCGGCACCTCCTGTCCCCACCGCGCCCAGACACAGGGTCCCCCGGAGTGACCCGTGTGTGTGTGTGTGTGTGTGTGTGTGTGTGTGTAGGGCGTGGGGAGTGACTTGTTCCCTCGAGTGTCAGCGTAGCATGTGGGATGCGTCAGAGCTCCTGGAAGGAGCCAGAAGGAAATCTCCTAAGACCACAGGACTCCAGCATCAGGACTGGTAGGATGTGATCATAGACCAGGTGTTTTCAAGTTCCTGGCCCTCTGCCCTAAGCGGGGACAGAAGGGGCTCGGTGACGTGGGCTCGGGGACACTAAATGAGGCAGGCACTGAATGGGAAATTCCCTTTATAAAAATGTACTTAAATACTTCATTAGGAGACACACACAAAATAATACTAAGTATGCCCCTGTCCACTGCTCAGGCTTAATAGTAGCATTTGCTGTGTCTGTTTTGTTTAACCCGTTAAAAACCAAATAAAATGTAACGAGGTGATTATGGCCTTTCATTCCTTCCTCTCGCATTTTCCTGTGTCACGTCCATGCATGTTTTGGTGCTTGCGTGTCAAGGTGTGAGGTTTTGTCAAATCTACATAATGGTATTATGTTCTCTGTGGTCTTCCAACTTGTTTTCTCTCAGATAGTGTTGGTGAGACATGAGGCTCTGGCCCATTGTAATGAACCACAGGTTAATTTTTCTCCTTATAGAAAACGCAGTTGTCTCAATATTTTACTGTTAAAAACAGTCTCGATGAGCATTATTCAGGCAGTTTCCATGAAGAATAGTGAGTAGACCCGGGCTGTCGGTACCTTGGAAGAGGGACGCACACACTGCAGTGTGGACGTGTCTTGGGAGTGAGTGTGTGGCACCGTCTGGAATGTTGGTGTGGTTGGAATTCAGAGCGGTGGTAGTGATGAGAAGTCACAAATGAACTGATCAGTAAGAACCAGATCATGGAGCGTGCCTGAAACCGTGAGGAGTCTGAACTTACATTCTCTCAGAGACGGGGCCATACCATCCTGTTCCTCCTCCAGAGAAGGAGAAACCACTGCTGGGGCAGGTGCAGGATGGGTGGAGGGGGCCGGGCTGGAGAGCAGGGTGAGAGTGGGGGGCCGGCTGCTGCCATAATCCAGGGAAGACATGGGGTGGCCTTAACCACCGTGATGGTGTTGGCGTTGGCAAGACGCGGAGGAAACGGAGAGAGGTCCACAAACAAGAGTCCGCAGAGAGCAGGGCTGACTGGGAGCACGGGAGACAGCTGAAGACCAAAGGCTTAAAAGCCCAGTTTTGGTCTTTTTTAAGATTTTATTTGACAGAGCACAAGCAGGGGGAGCAGCAGAGGAAGAAGGAGAAGCAGATTCCCCCCTGAACAGGGAGCCCAACGTGGGACTCGATCCCAGGACCCTGAGATCATGACCTGAGCTGAAGGCAGACACTTCACTGACTGAACCCCCTAGGCGTCCTGGGCCAGTTTTGGTCTTAAACTAAGATAGGGAAGACAGGAGAAGAGGAGATGTGCTGCAGGGCACCGGGAGAAGGAAGTGTAGGTGTTCTTCCACTCGCACTTGGCATGTGACCAAGTAGAGTGAATTCTAACAGTTTCTGTTCAGAACTGTCAGGGTTCCATCTTGCCCTTGTGCTGGGGCGAGCTGGCCATGGTGCTGGGGGCCACGCAGGCTTCGGCTGGGGGAGTGCTCCCACCTCCTGCTGATTGTACTACAGTGGGGGCTAAGCCTTGTCCTTGAAGGAATCCCAGAGTGCCATGTTGGGAGACCGGGAAGACTGGAGTCACAAACGTGGATTTTGAGTCCTGGTGCTACCACGAGCTCTGTGACCTTGGGGACCACCTTTAACCTCCCTCATCTTTAGAATGAGCTACTGGTACCCACCCTGTGGCTGAGGGAGAGGTGGTAGGAATGAAAACAGACAGCATTCATGGGCTCCGACAGAGTTGCATGAGGAATGAACGGTATCTGCTGCTGTTGTGTTGTTAGGGTGCAAATACAGATTCTCCTGGGGGTGGAATATAGAGTGCCCGCCCTTGCCCTGACCACTCCATTTAAAGCTGCAAACTTCCCTTCCCCTTCTCTGTTTCTGATCCTGCTTCTCCTGTTCAACTTCTCAATTTTCCCTTGGCATTTAACACCTTCTAACATAGCGTATAATTTACTTATTTATTATAATTATTTTGTATTGTCTCTCCTCCATGCTGGGAAGGGATCTGCCTACAGGGTAGGTTCTTTACCTGTTTACTCGTTGATCTCAGTAGCTAGAGCATCTCCTGTCCCGGGCACATAGGAGATGCTCGATAAATACTGGTGAAATGGATGACTAGTTCTTAGACCCCTTGAGAATCCAATAAAAGTGTGAACTTCCTCCCCCTGGGTAGGGAGGATGGATCACATGCAAATGACATTTCTGTGTAAAATGTCAGACCTTCTTGAGCCCATTCTTCCAGAATACAAGGTGGGAAAACCTGTACTCATAGAGATTTTGATGCTTTCCCACCAGGGGGCTTCCAAATGGTGGTATGGACAGGTGTTTATCTGACCCTGCCCTGCCTTTGAATGCACTTGGACCCAAATTCCTGGGCAACTGGATCCTTTCTTATTTGCATTTGAGAAACAGAAATCTCCAAGACTTTCAGATTAGCGTGTGGTCACAGAGGTTGGAAAGCAGATAAAACAGTATCAATTATGACTGCCTATTCCCTCTATAAGGATCTCTAGACCAAAAAAAAGGTATTGATTTGTGTTTAGAGCATTAACCCCAAATTATTTACAAGTAAATTGACTTAAATGTCAGTGGACAGTTTTGTGGTTTGTTTTTTTTAATAGAGCATGACGCATTATCCTGTCCATTGCCATTTTAAGCTGTATTTTATGATTATATGAATCAAGCAATAACCAAACATAAATTACAATCGCTGATAAAATCATAAAATAAGCTGCTGCCATTCTTGCCTTGGTTACGTAGAAGCTAAAGCCCTTAGATTTGCTGCCTGCGTGACATGTTTCCAGAAGGAAAGGTCAGAGTCACTGGGTGCAGGAGCGGTCATAGAGGTGCGGTTGGGTGCCCTAGAGGTGCTGGGACGACGGGGCTACGGTGAGTGTCTCGTCTTTGCAGATTCCCCTCGACGATTCTGGTGGTACCACTGGATCTGCTGGCTGCTCAGCGTGGTTGGGATCTTCTGCATCCTCTTGGCGCACGACCACTACACTGTGGACGTGGTGGTGGCCTACTACATCACCACGAGACTCTTCTGGTGGTACCACACGATGGCCAACCAGCAAGTGAGTGTCCCTCCTCGTGGGATTGCAGCCTCTCTTCCCCCTGGCCCTGCGGTGCCCACACGGCAGGGGGAGGGGGCGGACCGTCCGGCATCTAAGGTGGGGTTGTCTTTTGTGACGCTGACCCACTTGGGAATAAAAAGTGAACAGGGAATGTGTGAGTGCAGCGACACGAACATAGCATCCTTCTAGAGCGAGGGCCTCCCTCCCACCGCCCCTGACAAATGTCTCGGCTGCGCCCACCAGCTGCACCTGGTCTCCATCCCCCCCACCCCAGCCGAGTCCTGAACGTCCATCACAGAAAGTCACCGAAACACTGATTGAGGGATACATGTATGGATGAGAGATGGAGCAAGGCCCGTGTTGTCCGTGCGCTCCCGGAATTGGCTTGTTTTCCTGCTGGGGTGTGGCCCAGTTAGCAGATGAGCACAGAGTGGCCACGTGTGTGTAACGGCACAAGCGGCACACGGGGCGGGTCTGGGGTCCTTGGTGAACTGGAATAAGGAATAAGGAAACCATCTAAACTCTAGGTGGAAGGTGGTTAGCAAAGCATGTGTGTTCCTTTTGGGGCTGGGACAGTGTCTCCTTCCCCTTGACGTGGTTTTCCTGTCCTTGTTCTCCTAGGTGCTAAAAGAAGCTTCCCAGATGAACCTCCTGGCTAGGGTGTGGTGGTACAGGCCGTTTCAGTACTTCGAAAAGAATGTCCAAGGAATCGTACCTCGCTCTTACCATTGGCCCTTCCCCTGGCCAGTCGTCCACCTCAGCAGACAAGTGAAATACAGCCGCTTGGTGAACGACACATAACGGCCGCTCAAGGCCCTGGAGCGTGGAGCTGTCCGAAGTGCTAAGAACTCCGTGAGAGAAGATGCCATAAACAAACACCTCCCTAATCCTGTTCTCTTTCAAAAGTTACCTTGACTTAACCTATTGAGTTACCTGGTCAGCACTGTGATCTTTTTTTCTCTCCAAAGGACCTGCGTTGGACAACAATAAAGAGAATTTAACCTATCATGCACTGTACACATTTTCCTGTTCATAAGTTTGGGATTTCCATAACCTGCGACCACCCTGTTCCTTTGTATATGATGCAGCAGCATAAATGTAAGCTTTTATATCATCAGTTCTGGTCTTTCCAGGCACATCTGGAAATAAAGCGTATTATTTTCTTGGGAAAACATACTTTTCATATCTCTTGCCCCAAAGATTGGGCTGTAAGCCATTTTCTAGCAAATGTCTCTATGAAGGTTTCTGAGTACCTGAATGGGGTTCAATTCTGAAATCTTTCTACCTGTTGCACCGATATTCAAATAAAAATGACAGACACAGAAAGGTTCGGTAACTTTGGGTTTTGTAAAAATCAGCAGAGAGAGTGTGTCAAAAAGTGCAAAAAAAAAAAAGATTCTGTTATAAAGTGATTTTCTAAGTATTTCCTAACTTTATTTTTCAAAATAATGTTATGAAAACCAAATTTAAAGATTTTTACATGTCGGAGAGAAGAGAGTTAAAATTTAAAAATGCTTCTTGGGAGAGAAATTTGTCTATGTTTCTAGTGCCTTTCTTGTCTTGATTGTATGGTCAGTAGGCAATCTTAAATGTTTTTATTTAAAATAAAATATTCCATGGAAATATAAATGTATGTATACACTACTAAATTTTGCATTTATAGCTAAATTAAATCAGAAGACTGCTTATGGTTTTTAAATCGCTATGAATTAAAGAAAGGGGGAGTTAATCAGAAAGTCAGAACCTGTTCCCATATTGTGAGCAGGTAGCAATGACATGTACCACTTAAATTATTTTATCACCTATTTGGTAGTTCGATTTTAACTATACAGTGAAAACAGCCATGAATACTTTGTTTTTAAAAAGAGAGTTTTGAAAAATGATCATTTAACTAAAAAACGTGAAAGCTCTAAATTAGTTATCCATACTCTCACGACAATTTTGTTGGTGAACAACAAAACAGAGATCTATTTCTTTAAAATATATTTGTGCAGAAACTGCATGTAACTCTAAGTTTTACTCCTAACATGAGTATGTTTGGGGAAGTATTCTCTTCTATACTTGCCAATGTGGAGAACAAAATAGTTTTTTAAGAATGAAGAAGTATATATATCCATTCTGTATTTTATGCAGCAGAATTATCTTCCATAGGGTTTTTTTGTGTATTCACAAGGTGATATTTGTATTGTAAAACAATAATGGTGAAGGAAATAAAAAGGCTTTTAAAATTTTGTTTGTTTTAAATATTTGTAAAGTTACTATTCCAGAGAGTATACTGATATCTTAACAGCTTACCTAGATCATAAATTAATCAAAATGCACTTTTTAATAAAACCTGATACTTAAAATAAATGGCTGTTATTTCTAATGTGTTCACATCCTTCCCAGAAGTCGTTGACGAAGTCATTAAAGCAAACACTGCGTTTTTGGACCTTCTTCCTTGGTTTTGTTTGAGACAGGGCCTGTGGCAACCCTGTTTCTTTCCACTTAAGGTTTCTGAAAGTGTACGAGTGTCTTTTTGAAAATACATAAGAAGAATCGAAGGTGAGTTAATAAATTCAAGCTACAGTCCACGTTGGCTAGAGATGTCAAGCCGGTGAGATTTCCTGCGTGGGGCTCTGGACCGGTGTCTCTGTCAGAACGTGGGATGGCCTCTGGAGGCAAGTTGACCAGAATTCTGGGATGGCCATTTCACTGGTACAGCCTTTCCCTGACCTTGACTGTCGGACAGGTGCTGCGTATCGAAGGGGAAGGCAGCTTGCGTAACGAAAATGCAGTATTTGCACATGCTAAAAATTGGATCCTTTTTTTTCCTAAGTCAAGTAGTTTTATTAAAAAAAAAAGTGATTACTACAGGTTTGCATCCTACATATGTACTAAAGAAATTCATGCCTGACTGCACTGGTTCATGAATGGACGTATCCTGTGGCTCCCTGTCTGCAGATCCCAGGAAGGACAGAGAAATCTTGTGTTCTGGAGAATCCTAGTCCACTTGATAAAGCCTGATTGAGGACATGCGCTTTTTTTGTCCTTTAGTTTGCTAAGACAAAGCCCTGGACAACTCCTTTGTTGGGCTCTCTTTATGAGGAGGGCATTTTACATGTATTGTTAACCCTCACAAAACCACAAGGTTAGTTACTACCCCGTCTTGCAGGAGGTGACTGATTGGAGTTGCGGTTTCCACCCTCTCCCCAGCACCCTGTGCCCCCCAAATACTGTTGAGTGTTCATAAATTGTATGGGAAGAGTCAGCAGTGGGAGAAATCGGTGCCTGTCCTGGAAAAGCCAAGTGGGACACCTCTTACTATGGACTGAGTAGTAGGCAATGCACATCACGAGGTGAGAGACTAATTTTGCCAATTTCCTAACTGCTAAATGTTTTATTTGTATCCCAAATACCTACTTGATGTGATAAGTATCTCATAAACTTTATAAATACCACATAAAATGAGAATCCCTGTTAGCTTTAATTTGACCTTCGTTATACAAAAAGTCAACCATGGAATTGAGTTAACTAGGGTATAGAATATGCTACTTGGATCCCTTGATAATGATTTTTTTTTTTTAAGATGTACTTATTTTAGAGAAAGAGTGCAGCAGGGATGGGCAGAGAGAGAATCTCAAGCAGACTCCCCACTGAGTGTGGAGCCCGACACAGGGCTTGATTTCATGACCCTGAGATCACAACCTAAGCCAAAACCAAGAGTCAGACGCTGATGCTGATATTCTTTATTTTTCTCTCCCTTTCGTCAGGAAACTTCGAGCCAATCCAGACTTGATATTCTGCTTATCAGCACCTTAAAGTTCTCTGCCTGCTGGCTCAGCATGAATCACAAGAAAATTAAGCAACCTGCTAGGTCCAGACTCCAGCCTTTCGAGGTCAGAGATGGGCGTGGTCCGTGAGGGGAAGTTGCACAAAACTGGAACGAGGGAGGGAGAGGGTTGGGATCGCGGGGAGAGTGGCAGGACAGTGCAGACGGCCGTGGCTTACTATCGGTGAAGACAGGGAAGGAGGATTTATCACAAGAGCTAACACGTGTTTTGCATGTGTGAGAAATCCTTTGTGTTCTCGAGTGTTGGCCTAGCACCAGTGTCATTTAGCATCTAGCAACTGAGAAAATGCATGCTATGGATTTAGAAATGCCCTTGAGGCTTTGTGGTTTGCCAGCGAGAGTGTACGTGTAACATCTGATTGACAGGAGTAGTACTTGGCCGTTCATTATTCCATCAACACATCATGGTTGGTGAGCGCAAAGATTCGAGAGTCTCTTGAGAATTCTTGGGACAGGTTTACTGAAGATTTGAAGACCGAGATCAATGAGATAGGCAGACTCCCATGTCTTTCAAAGTTAAAGAAGTAGGGAGTCCAAATTAAGAGGCCTATGCAAAATCCCGTGTCCTAGTTCCTGTGTTGAAGGATGTCTAGGGTGTGGCTTGAGGGGCCAAAATGGCATCCCAGGTGAGGACAAGGGAAGGCTCTGACCTAAGAGGGACCGGCCCTGAGTTCCCTCCCAGCCCCCTGGTGGCCTAGAACCTCGTGTGTTGTGATGCTCTCTTGTTAGATGCATACACATTAAAGTTGCTATGTCTTCTTGGAGGATTGACCGCTTTACTGTTCTGTCATCTCTCTATTCCTGATAATATTCCTTGTTGTGAAGTCTGCTTTGTCTGAAATTAAAATAACGACTCCAGCTTTCTTCTGATGAGTGTTCGCATGGTATATATCCTTCTCGACCCCTTTATTTTTACCTCTCTGGATCTTTATAAAGTGGGTTTCTTATAGAATATATAGCAGATAAATGGCATTTTGTTTTTAATCTATTCTACAGTCTCTTTTTTTAAAATTTTTTTTTTTTAAAGATTTTATTTATTTGACAGAGAGAGCGAGAGAGGGAACACAAGCAGGGGGAGTGGGAGAGGGAGAAGCAGGCTTCCCACCGAGTAGGGAGCCCGATGTGGGGCTGGATCCCAGGACCCTGGGATCATGACCCGAGCCGAAGGCAGACGCTTAACGACTGAGCCACCCAGGCGCCCCAGTCTCTGTCTTTTTAATTGGTGTGTTTAGACCTGTCACATTTAAAGTATAATTGATAACACGGTTGACCCTTGAACAATACAGGTTTGGACTGAGCAGGCCCACTTACACGTGGGTTTTTTCAATAAATACAGTACTGTAAATGTACTTTGATGATTTTCCTGATACTTTTTTCTCTAGCTTTATTCTAAGAATACAGTAATATAATACATGTACAAAATATGTGTTAATTGTTATTGATAAGGCTTCTGGTCAACAGGCTATTAGTAGATAAATTTGGGGAGAGTCAAAATTTTTATGTGGATTTTCGACTCCCGCCTCCCCTCCCCGCCGCGCCCCCCCAGCAGTTCATCTAAGTTACCGTGTAAGTGTTCCTCATAATTTATGGCTCTGGTGGCTTCTGCTCCGTGCAAGCAGATCTCAGCTGTGACTCTGGATGCACCTGTCTCTCCAGATTTGGAGGGTGGTGGTTGGACCCATTGACCCAAAAAAGTCATTTTTTGAAACGTTTGTCCAGCCTTTTCTAGTTGTAAGGATGGGAATGGTGACTTGACTCCAAAGCTCTTTGCATGTTGAGGATGAAACCAGAAGCCCTTGGTGACCCAGTTTTTGTGGTCAAAATAAATTTGGAGGACAATGAATAAGCTGTTATCTGAAGAGTACTTTTAATGGCTGGACATACAAATTTGTGTTCTAATGACAATTGAAGACCTAAAAATAGAAATGGCTGTTAGAGTCCGTTTTAATGACTTCTAACTCTCAACACACCGGGTGTCCAGAAGAACATGAAGACAGTTAGCACTGGATTGGGGAAAAGAGGGGGCACATTCACGTATCTTAACTGCAAGCTTTCTTCCTGGAGCCTTTAATTTGCTCTCCCCCTAGAGGACTAGGATGCAGCTGAGCACCAAAGCAAACCCAAACTCCAGAGGAACCTGAATGACTTTCCCTCTCCTTTTTTTCTTTGGACTGCTCCCATGGCTAGTTTTCTGAGAGCCCTGTGGCATATCCCAAGCTGGTCCCTGGGAAAGATCTGGTTCGTAACAAGTAAGACATTGGTTAGTAACAAATAACGATTGCTTACGAGGAACATCAAAACATTACAAGAAAGTGTCAGGTGCCTACCGTCCAGAATGCTTGGTCTATTTTTGCCAGAGGGTTTACAGTATGTTCTGTTGGGTTAGTCAGTTTTTCTTCTCAGTCCCTCTCTTTTTGGCTTGGACTAAGATAAATTCTAAATAGTTTAACTCAGTGGCTTATTGGCGCTTGGGATCTGCTCCCCTGGCCAGCTCTGTGTTGGGAGGATCTGGTATTGTTTTCATTGCTTCCTGCCGATAGTATTCATCAGCACGAGAGGAGAAGCTGAAGGAGGTTGCACCAAAGTATTCTGTGTTTAGTAAAGAGCCTGTGACTGCAGAAAGGCACACAGCGGGTTTTCCATGGGGGATGTGTAGCCATGCTCCCTGATATCTTAGGATGTTTCAGGGGGAAAAAAAATCATTTGGGAAAAAGCATGATCTGTTACAATGAACGTTTGTTTGGAAGGCTTCTCTGAAATCCTTGGCTTTGAGTTTCAAGAGGCCACAGTCCAGTCATTGCCAGGCTTATGGGAAGCATGTTCATTGCCAGCCTGAGTGGTCCCCGGAACCTTCTGACCTCTGGCTGTGTTGGGCCAGGACAGTGGCCCCTGGTATGGGTAGGCAGTGAGGATGCAGTGTGTTTGCAGCAAAAGCTTCCATTCTGCAGACGCTCCAATGAGCCTAGCAGGTTCGGTCCAGCCCGGAGGCGGGCAGACACACTTGCTTAGGCGAGTACTAGCTGCCTTTCTCCGCGGGTTCCAGGGGCGGGCATGTAAAGCAAATGACGAGAAGAGGAGCTAGGTCCAGTTAGGGTTGCCGGCATACGTCTGCCCTGGAAGCATCACTGGCCTGGGACGTGGGCGCACATTGCTGTGCTCAGGAGCTGAGCCCAGATGACCACAGAGCTTGATCTCTACCCGCTGTGGCTTGCAGGGCCCGCTCCAAACCCTGGGGCCAAGTGGCTCCCTAACGAGGTTTCCCCTGGGGCTCCCGGTTCCTGAGCAGAGAGAAGCAACTGCAGGAGGGTAGAGGGATCCCAGCAGGGAGTCGGGCCAGAAGGTCCTGTTCTGTGTTCTTGTACAATCCCTGGTACCCACTGCACCTGGCACACAGCAAAA